AAAAATAAAAATAATTAATTTGTTACAGGACTGTGTGTGTGGTTGGTTTTTTATTTGTTTTTTTGTTTTGCCGTGGCATTGACTTTGAAAGCTGTCCCTGATTAATTATACATAAATGTGTATCCCACCCCATACCCTGGTGTACAGCAAGGAAATATTACTTTTCCTCACTATTTTTTAAAATTCCAGAATGATTTTTCTTCTAAATACAATTCATTCTTTCATGTTCTCTGTTGTGAAGATAATTGATTTTCTTCATGTTGTTTTTGCTGTGTTAATGTCATTCACCTCTCTGTGTCATTAAAAACATTCCTGCAGCATAATATAGAATAAGTTTTCTATTCGGTGCTCCATTACTTCGGGAATAATGAAGAACAAACGTTTTCCATTTTATCTAGTACATATGGTAAGTCAAGTTAGCATCTCTGAATCTGCAGAGAAAATGCCTCTGCTCATCTCATCCAGCCAGCGATTCAGACACGCATCGTAACAATGTCTGGAAAGTGGGTTTTTTTTGTTTTTTTTTGTCTGCTGGTACTTAAATTGGCCTGATTAAATGTTCTGAATTTACCTGATGCTAACAGTTACTAGAAGGCTAATTGTTTATGGAAATATATTTTTTTTCTGGCCATGAAAGCCAGCCTAGTTTCTCGAAAGGTCATACTTTGCTGTGTGCATGGAAAGAAGTAATAGTTTTCAGTTGTCTTTTAGGGTCCAGCTAATGAAGGGAATATGCTGTTCTTCAGCTATGCTCCATGTCCAGCTAAAGGATGCTTGCTAATTGTTGGAACATAAAGGCTTGCAGATGTTCTGTCTGATTGTTTGTTTTCAGTGTTTTCATCGTGTGTGTGTGTGTGTCTAGTTAATGCATATTGGCAGCTTATAGCAATGTGTGTTGGGGTCTGGTGGGCAGAAGTGACACAGGAGAGACCTGCACAATATCCCCATGTTTTCCAAGGGATGGGTAGAAATAGTGAGAGTCCAATGAATCCATTTCTTCATCCCTGCATAGCCACATCCCGTGTTGTTTCCTCCTCTGCGGTCTTTCCACCTCCGGTGAGGACAATTGTTCCTCTGCTTTGGCCATTTCCATACCTGACCTAATCCCACCCTCATACCGGTCCTGTTCATTTCTGCTACTCCCAATGGATTGGCTGGACCCTTTCAAACACATGTGCCTCAGCTTGTGACCTCTGTCTCTTGTGCCTCCATTGCCTTGCTCTTCCCACCTAACACAGCCTTTCTCATGGTGTGTGTTCTTTCTCTGTCCATTCTATCCCTTCCAGTGCTTCCTTATACCACCTTCAGGCTTTTTAAATAGCAGAATCTCTTTTTTCCATCCTCTTCCCTTCCAGATGGTGATGACCCATCACTGCCCTCTTTCTGCTGGGTTTCAGATGTGTGCGTCACCACCTGTTCCTCTTGTGGCCTTGGTGCCATCAACTTTTATGTTGATGCCAAAGGATGGTGTGAAGATCAGGACTTTAATAGGGTTAAAAAAAGAGCTAGATAAATCCATGGTGGTTAGGTCCATCAATGGCTATTAGGATGGGTAGGAACGATGTCCCTGGCCTCTGTTTGTCAGAGGCTGGGAATGGGTGACAGGAAAGGGATTGCTTGATGATTCCTTGTTCTATTTATTCCCTTCGGGGCACCTGGCATTGGCCACTGTCGGCAGGCAGGTTACTGGGCTAGCTGGACCTTTGGTCTGACCCAGTCTGGCTGTTCGTATGAGGACTGTGTGATGTACAGGCAGATTCCCCAAGTCAATGTATGCGTTGTGGCTGCTAGGATGAAATTTGGTGGTTATGAAATGACTGTCTCATGGAATGCCCCTGTACATATGTAGATTGCACTCTTGCTGTGTCATGTCCCACAGGCCAGGGACAATATGTCCTTTGTCAACAGGTGGAAACACTTGAATGACAACAGGTTGACTGAAGCAGGACAAGGATACTTCCTCCAACTTGTTGCAAGGATTTTGGGGGTGAAACTGGGAGAGTGGAAAATTCCCGTATCAAACAGACACAGGTGACAAAGCTGAAGTTTTAAAAGGGTCTCTTGGGGTGAGGGTGGGAGGAGACTGGGTAAGCCACAGAGGAAAGGGATGGACCGGCAAGGTCAGAAAAGCCATGCTGGGAGGAGAAGGCGCTGTTCAGCACAGTAGCAGCGCATGTCATCATCATGAGAGATGGCCAGCAGCCTGGGGACTAAGGGGTTAACTATACCTAAGCCAGGTAGTCGGCCAATAAAAATGCAGATGGGATTTCAAACTGTAACAAAAGAATTTTTGGGTTTTTCTCTCCTTTGTCCCTGGGCAGTTTCTCTCCAGCTACTGAGGGGGACAGACGACATGTCTGCCTCTAAGAAAAGACCCTTCACTATCTGTAAGTAGGTAAAGTTTACATAAATCCGTTAGGTTTTATTGTTTAATGGTTTGGGAATGGGAATCTGATGTCTGTGCATTTAAAAAATGGGTTTTCTCCTTTGCAACTAAAGTCTTGGCCTATGGGGGGGGGTCCCCCCATGAATATATTAATTTGTGACTTTTTCCATCTAGTCACTATGCTTGCAACAGTAATATTGTGGTGATGATAAAAGTTCTTTCTCTTTTTTTTTTTTTTTTTTCTTTTTCTTAACCTGGTATTGGTTAATTTTTGTGTCCTGGTTTTTACTTTTGGGGCCTGAGATTTCCCACGTAGTCTCTCCATGGTTTCTTTATTATTACTTGGGTGCAGTGGATTTTTATCCCCAAAATGTGTTTAAGATTTTGGGGGGACGCTTTATACCAAAGCCTGGAAAGATACTGTTTTGGGGTACCTTTGCGGGCCTCCAATTCGGCATTTACCATGCCAGAGTGGGGAAGGAGACTTGACCGTGCACCACAGCAGAAGGAACCTAGCTGACTCCTGCCGACCCTGGTCCCAGCCCAGAGCATGCTCAGGAGTGGAAAGGAAACTGAGGCAGGGAAATGCATATAGGGTTTATTACTTTGGTACAGAGCCGTGTTTCTCTTAGTGGTATTAAAACCCTCTGCAAAGTCGGTGCTGTATTCATGTGCCTTTTCATAGGCAAGTGGTGGGTCCACAAAGCTGGAATTCTGGGAGAGGCTGGGGCTGAGCCGTGTGGTAAGCCAGAGGTGTCGGCATTGGCTGCATACGCTGGGACGGGCGTAGCGCAGCTGCTGCTCTCCCTAGGCTGTGTTTGTGCCTTGGGACTCTCCGGGGCAGTGCTTGGGGGCTGGCTAGACTCCCAAGACTTAGAACACCCAGGGTTCCTGTGGACATCTCCTCACCACGGTGTGAAGCGCGCTGAAGAGGGAGAAGAGGATGCCTACTTCCCCCCACCCTCCCTCATTTGATCTTCCGCCCCTCTTGGCTACTGTTAAGGTTGCTCCCTTCCTCACTGCACTAAGCACAGCTGTCTTTTGTGCCCCTTTGAACAGTTTCTCTGTGATTACCTCACATGCTTCAGTAGTGCTTGAGCTCGGGCTGTCTCCCTGTTCATCCATCACCCCTTTGGTCTTAAAGGCTTCTGAGTTAAATTGCATCACTTTGGATTAGTGTTTTTTTTCCCCTGCCATGACCCTTTTCAACGTGCAGAGGATCTCAGTGGAGTACCTCTGGGAAAAGTTTAAGAAAAAATATTTTTTTTCTTTTAAACAGAAGCTAATAAAATGCCAAGCGCAACAGACTATTGGAGGGAGGAGATGTGACCGCACGACTCCCTGAGTAGCAAGTATTTAGAAATGTTAGGTATGCTGTAGTGGGAGCTTCCATTTCCATAACACCATTCATACAAAACGATCCTCAAGAGTTTGGTGGGCTTA